AAATAAATAAATAAATAAATAAATAAATAAATAAATAAAATAAAAAACTTTCCATATGACACTCATTCTTGGTAGAATGAGACTAACTTTACTTATAGCGCAGAGATTGCCTGCCAGCCCATCTAGATAGGCCAAGTCAGGAAGCAGACACCACAGGAAATACAAGAACTCTACTTTATTGATATAGGCTATAATAGCTGAAAGGCCTGCCAGTTTCCCTTTTCTTCCCTCTTTTCCCCAAAAAAGTCAAAAGTAGGCCAATTCTGAGTTTCTTCCTCATCCCTTCTTATCTTCCTGGACTAAGTGGATGTTTTTGGAACAGCTTCTGCATATCTTCTTCAAGACTGCCTCTATAATCCTCTACACTATCCCTACCAGTTGTACTGCAGTGCTGTTGAAAATCCAGGAGTGACTTATAATCTGTTTTCAGAGGTACCACACTTCCAAGCATTGGATATTTGGGGATAAATAGAGTATAACCAGTAACTTTATACCTTCCTTGAAATTTTCCAGAAGAAGGATCACTTTGATGGATCCTATTTTGACTCATAAGGCAATGGTGTGCTCTTGTGTTGAGAATGAGGAAATCAGTAATGCAGAGAGAACCCAACCTGACATGCATTTTCTAAACTTTATTCTAATAACACCATATTCCCTTGCAGATCTCTTAGAATCCACATGTTGGAAATATTGACAAAAATGGCTGGAATTGCTCTTTTCTCTCTCTCTCTCTCTCTCTCTCTCTCTCCATGTCTTTTTCTCTTTCTCATTTTGCTACTTCTTCATTTCTCCTTCCTTGTCATGCCTCTTTGATTCTTCTTCCTCCCTTTTCAATAGGCATCTGCAAGAAAGCCATGACAGAGGGCTTCTGGCAGATCTCTTGGCAGATGGTTGCAGATGACTTCTAAAATCAGCAGGGAGACCATGCATGATTAAGCAAGGAGTGCATGTGGTTCTACAGTCAAAAGTTACCTATTTTTGTATTAGGGTATTAGTAATTTAATAGTCACACCAAAGAGTGTACCATGCTCAAGATAAATATATTACATCTTGCCTGCAATGTTTGAATGGAATTTGCACTTCTAAAAATATTGCAAACCTTTTCTGTAGGTTTGACCATTTGCAGCTCCCTGGAGATGTTTCAGTAAGTGTTCACCGAAAACAAAAATACTTTAAACTAGAAAAAATGCATAGTCAATCCTCAGTGGAAATACAGACCTCAAAGTTTCTATAAAATAAGACATAGAGCAGAATTCCTGAGGGAAAAATGAAGATTTTTACTCCAAGAGCTAGATAGACTGATAAGTGAGGGTACAATTCGGCAAAAGTCAATTGTGTGCTTAAATCTCTGCATGAAATCAATGGGTATCACTTGAGAAGTGATTTGGCTAGATCTCTGCCATTCAAATGAAAAACATCTCTTGAGGAAATTATACTGACAAGAAGAAAGGTCAGTATTTTGATGGATCTGATTAGATCTGGAATCAGGCAATAAACATGGAACCTAAGTGTCATTCTTACATAGCTGTTTTTCCCAGCTGAGTCTTTTTTTTTTTGGTACTTTGTATTGTATTTTTTATACTTTTGTATTGTATTTTGCATTTACAAATATTTTATATATAAGGTTGGGATACAGATATGCAAACTAAATGGTACATGATATTATTCTTGATTCTTTTTTAACTTAATGTAATGTAGGGGTTATGATATATTGTTGC